ATCTCTCTCTGTCTCTGTCTCTGTCTCTCTCTGTGTCTCTGTCTCTCTCTCTCTGTCTCTGTCTCTGTCTCTCTCTGTGTCTCTGTCTCTCTCTCTGTCTCTGTGTCTCTCTGTCTCTGTCTCTGTCTCTCTCTGTCTCTCTGTCTCTCTCTCTCTCTGTTTCTCTCTCTCTGGCGCTCTCTCTCTCTCTCTCTCTCTCTCTCTCTCTCACACACACACACACACACACACACACACACACACACACCATGGTCTTGCAGAGGTGTCCATAGGCCCTCTAGTGGTCCCTCTGAGTACTATATTTAACACTGCAGAAACTTCCCTCTGGGATGGGACTAGGTCCCTTCGGAACCTTCCAGGCCCATCTTATGGGAGATACTGCACAGCGCCTGCTCTCAGAGCTCACAGCATGGTGATGAGGGCGAAGGGGCAGACACAGGCAGAGAACAGGGAGAACAGGGAAGGGTATAACTCAGTTGGTGATGGGGAAGTTTGGAAGGCTTCTCGATGGAGATGTTGTTCACCAGAGACTTGCAACAGGAGTGAAGGTTTGCTTGGAAAAGAAACAAAAGCTCAGCTGGCATAGTTCAGGGGCTGGGCATCAACCAGTGAACCAGGAAGTCACGGTTCGGTTCGATTCCCAGTCAGGGGTCAGGGGTCAGGGCATACGCCCCAGTTGCAGGCTTGATCCCCAGTGTGGGGCGTGCAGGAGGCAGCCTATTCATGATTCTCTCTCATCCTTGATGTTTCTATCTCTCTCCCCCACTCCCTTTCTCTCTGTAACCAATAAAAAATATTTTTTAAAAAGAAACAAAAGAGGGGCATTTCAGACTTCACTGGGACCATACAGGATGTTACAATTAGGTAGGTGTGACTGGAGTGAAAATTTTGAGGGGGCCAGTGGCTAAAGATGGAGATGGTGAGGTAGGCATGGGTCTTGTCTGCTGTGCATGCAGGCTAGGCTTCTAGGTTTGGGGCCATGGGACGCTCTGAAGGGATTTGGGCAGGGGAATAACATATCACATTCACTTTCCAGAAGGAAACCTTTGGTGACCGACGTGACGAAAGAATGGGAGGGGAAGAAGTGGGAGAAGGACACCTCCCTTGGATACAAAGAACAGTACCAGGTCACACTCAGGACACATAACTTTGAGCTGGCCTGTGAACCAGGCACATCCTGACACCTACAGACATGTCACTGGGATCCCAGGCTGAGCAGCCACAGATAAACAAATCCGCTGACATGCACTCAGACACATAGCTCAGGTTCATAGTGGAAAGGAAACAAGGAGCTTGTGAGAACCACACACACCCTGATGGACACGGGATTCTCTCTCTCTCTACACACACACACACACACACACACACACACACACACACACACCCCTGTCCTACCCCCCTGTTTCCCCCAGGGTCCCTCACCACCTCCAGGCAGGAACAAAGCTGACCCTTGCCCTCTGGCCCCTGGCCTCTCCTCCCACACCCCCTGCCCAGAGGGAGGAGCTGTTTGAAGTCTGGGCTGCAGCTGGGGTTTCCTGTTGCCTGGAGGAATGTGGGAGGACTTGTAGGGAGGGGGGAGTGGAGCAGCCGGCACAGGAGGAGGGATAATGGGGGCCTGCGGGCCCAGCTCCCATTGTACCACATAAGGGAGAGCTTTCTGCTTCCATGGTCTCTTGGGCCCCAGCCCTGAGCTGTTCTCAGCCAGAGGAGGGGAAAACCAAGGCCATAATGGCTCCAGTCCAACAGGCCTCTTGTTCCTGGATCTGTATGTAGTTCAGTGTCTCAGGATAGGTCTTCAGCCTCTCTCGGCCTCAGTTTCCCCTTCTGTAGGCTAGAATGAATCCCTCTTAGCAATCCACACCTTTCCTGAGAGAGCTCCAAGGGGTGGGCCAACCCCAGAACTTCTGTTGTCACGGAGGGCAGTGCCCATCTCTACCCAAGCCTCACTCCAAATGCCCTTCCCATGAGCCCCGGGGACCTGGCCCCAGCCTGCTGCAACGTCTCTACCACTGTCATCGTTTTATATGACTCAGTAGCCCCACAACATGTCCTTGTCAGCTCGCAAAGGGCTTTTGTTTGTTTGTTTGTGTGTTTTTAAAAATATATATTTTATTGATTTTTTTTTTTACAGAGAGGGATAGAGAGCTAGAAACATCGATGAGAGAGAATCATTGATCAGCTGCCTCCTGCACATCCCCCACTGGGGATATGCCCGCAACCAATGCACATGCCCTTGACCAGAATCGAACCTGGGACCTTTAGGTCCACAGGCTGACGCTCTATCCACTGAGCCAAACCGGTTTCGGCCCAAAGGGCTTTTGCGCCCATATGCTCAGTAAGTCTTTTGCAGGCACTGCCTGGAACACAGGGGAGGGATTGCTCTCCTCTGTGTACACATGGAAACCGAAACTCTAAGAGGTTAAGGACTCACAAGTCAACGCAGAGTCAGAACCAGGTGTAACTGGCTCCTTGTCCACACAGGCTCCAAACCCTGAGACCCCACCCCTTTTTTTTTTTTTTTTTTTTATCACTAGAAGTCTCACGTCTGTTTCCTAGGATCTAGCTGCTGCTGATGGAAACAAAAGTGGCGAGAATGAGCTGAGCCCAGAAAGGGATGATGGAGGCTCTTCCAGAACCTGGGTCCCTCTCCTTCAAGTCTGCTTTCTTAGGGAGCTAACCGCTCCTTGGCCCAGCCTTTGGTGGCACCCATCCTGTCAGGAACTGGGTAGCTAGTCCTGACCTAACCCTTTCAGACGATGGCTGCCAAAGCAGATATGGAGATTAGACGCTAGGTGGCAGCAGCAGCCCACAGTAAGACTCAGCTTGCGTTTGTCTGGGGAGAGCCCCCCATCACAATTTGGAGCAGCTCCTAGAGAAAGGCCAGCCCCCAAGTAACTGTAAAACCCTGAAATGCTTTGTTTTCAACGATGCCCAACGCCTTGGCATTTAAACATACACTCTGTCTTCGGGGAGGGGACAACTGAGGCAGCCTGGGTCGGAAGGGGGGATACTTGCAAAATCCTACCTAACTTCTATTTCTTCCTTGGAGCCATGGAGCCTAAAATCTTGCCCTCTTAACCTCTCCTTTCCCATGCCCTTCCCAAGCGCTTCTTCATCCCAAGCCCCCGGGGCTCCCTATTTCCCAGAAGCCATCCTGGATTACCCTACCCAGTTCCTTCCCAAAACTTGGTTCAGACGGGGTGGGCCAGAGCCTAACAGGCAAGGATGTGAGAGAAGCTAAAAGGAAGGGGAATCTGGGCTTCTCCTTCCCTCCCCAGTGGTAAGTCTCTCCAGAGGGGGACCAGCTGGAGCAGATGCCTGCAAGGAGACACTACTTCAAATGGGGCCTCTCCAGCTGGCCGTACCAGATCAATAGGTGTACCTCTTCTCCCCCCACTGCATCTCCCCCCACCGCTGCTGCTCCTCTCACCAAAAGGGCCACTAAAGAGTGCCTCTCAGATCCCTTCTTTTGCCCTCTGGAGATCCCACACTGTCCTAGAGGAGGGGCTTGGAAGAGGTGGAGGTATAGGGAAGGTGGTGACAGGAAGCTGCATTTGGCAAAACGTCACCACCTGCCTTTGCCACGTAGCGGCCATCAGCCTGCATCCCCCCAGAGGGCCAAAGGTGGAGTCAGAAACAGGTGGGCTAAGAACAAAGGCGGTGCTGAAGGAACTCCAGGCCCGGAGCAAGACAGACAAAGCTAACCTACGTGGGCAAGCAATGCCAGACGAAGTAGGTCTAGCTCAGGGCCCGTCAGAGCCAGTGTGGGTAGACACCGAGGACAGGACGGTGGCCATCCATTATTCATCTCGTGTCCTCTGTGAGCCACACACAGACACTGGGAGAGAAGATCAGACGGAGGCCTGGGGAGTCACCACTCCCTGCATGGCTCAGAGGTTAATGGGAAGGCCTGGGCCTGGTGGTGTGCCCTCATCTGTGGAAATGCTAACGACCGTTTCGCCAGGTCTCCGCCAGATTCGAGAGCCCCGTGGTGTCCAGTAAATGGCGGCAGCAGCAGTTCTCCTGCTTGGGCTGTCCAGCCACCTCCCCCTGGTAACCAGGCCCTGGCAGTGCACATTCCTCCCATCTGTGGGGCTGGGCCAGGCAGGGGGCCCGGCGCGAGGAGCCGGGAGCTGGATAACAGATGTGACCTGAAGAGGAGGTAGGTGAAAGTGCTGAGCCCAGCCCCCTGGCCGCAGCAGGGGCTTTGAACTGTTGAATTTGAATCTTACTTCCCGACACAATGAAAAGGCTCAGTCGAATTTAGGAAGGGTGTGCGTGTGCACGTGTGTGTGTGTGTGTGTGTGTGTGTGTGAGTGTGTGTGCGCGAACGTGTATTATCCAGGACTTTTGTGTCCTTGCCGCCCTTGGACTTCTAGGAAAACAGGGGTTGTGGGAGGGGGTACGCTAGACCCAGAGCTCAGCTTGAGCCAGGGCGCAGAGTGAGGAGGAGACGCCCGTGGGGCTGAGGTTTTTTTTTCCTGGAGCAGCCCTCCCACGTGAGCTCCGGCGCTTTACTCAGTAATACACCGTTTCAGACCAGGAGAACGTCGCCACATTCAGGGAGCCTGTCCTCCTCCCTCTCCCCTTCCTTCCCCATTGAACCGGGACACCCCAGAAAGTCTCAGGTCTTTTGGCTAATCCCCTGGATTCCCTATTCGGCTCTCATTCCATTCTCAGACCCCGCCCCTTCCCTCCCACCCGCCACCTCCCCCAAAGCCGGAGCACCCCGCCGGGGGGACAAGGAGCTCGGTCAATGTTCCCAGTCCTTGGGGGGGAAAACCCGCGCCCCTCGGAAACGCGATCACGCCCCCGCCGGAGGGACCCGGGTGCAGGCGTCCCGCGGGCTCCCAGCCGCGCCGTCGGAGCGGCCCGCGCGGCCCCGCCCGCTGGGCGCACGGAGCGGCCGGGGCGGGGACTACAAGTCCCAGCGTGCCGCGCGCGCGTCCCCCCCTGGGGTTCCGGATGGTGAGCGGCGAAGGTAAGGCGAGCTCGCAGAGGCAGCGGCGGCGGCGGCGGAGACGGAGAGAGGCAGGCAGGCAGGCAGGGCGAGAGACGGAGGGAGGGAGCGAGGGAGGCAGACCAGACAGACAGACAGGCGGGCGGGCGGGCGGGCGGGCAGAGCGAGCCACCCGCCAGGCTGCGCTCAGCCCCGCTCGCCGCGGAGCGAGCAGAAGGCAGGAGGAGGGAGGGGAGGCGAGGGAGGGAGGGAGAGGGAATCCAGCTACCACCACCCAAAGCCAGCGTCTGCTTTCTGTCCTCATTTCCTTTTCCCACCCAGCCCCGAGAGGAGCAGAGAAAGGCAGAGGGCGAGAGAGGGAGAGGCAGCCGGAGGGACAGACAGACAGCCAGCCAGCCGGAGGGAGCGGGAGGGAGGCGGGCGGAGGAGGAGCAGGAGCAGGAGGACTACGCGGGGCGCGTTCTCTCCCAGGTTTGCCATTGGGGGTGTGGGGGCGGGGGCGCCCAGGACGGGGAGAGGGTGCGCGCGGCGGGGGGCGCGGAGGGGTGAGCGCGGTGGGGGGGCGCCGCGGCGCGGGGGCCGTGTCCAGCGGAGTTGGCGGCGGAGAATGTGAGCCGAGGCGCGAGCCATGCTGTCAGCAGCCGCGGGCGGCTCAGGGCTCCCCCACGACTCCTCTCCCCAGCTGCCGGGCGCCGCGCCGCTGCTGCCGCCGCCGGAAGACGGACGCCCCCGAAAGCCCCAGCCCTGGCTCGGACCCGCGCAGCCGGCAGCCCAGCACTCCGGTGAGTGGCGCCTCCTCCCCGGCCCCGGACCCCCGCCGGGGACCGGCTGGCCGGGCTCTTTTGTGCCGCGCGCCGGGGGGGGCCCTGCGCCCCTTCCGCGCGCCCCGGTCCGGCCCGTCGGACCCCGTGGCTGCGGTGCCGGCGGTGCGATCTGTCTTTGTTTCCACCGGGGCCCGCGGCTCGGCTGGGCTCGGCTGGAAGCCTGGCAGGCAGTGCCGGGAAGGGGGAGGGGGAGGTGGACGAGGAGGGGGGGCGGGGAGGGGGGGTTCTCGGGTTTCCTGGCCGCCCCGCGGCTCCCCGGCTCCCCCGGCTCGGGGGCGAGGTGCGCGCTCAGCGCTGCCGCGCGCCCTCTCCGCCTTCCCCCTCCCTCCGTCTTCGGGTTTAAAACTGCAATTCGCTCTCCAGCTTGCTGAGAAGGTGGTGGTTGGAGTGGTGGTGGTGGTGGGGGGGCAGTGTGGGGGGACCGTGGGAGCGGAGAACAAGGCTGGGTTTTAGGAACGGCGCTGGAAGAGGGGGAGACTGCGGAGGGAGGAGCCCCTCCCCTCCAACCCCAAATCCCCAGGTTCCCCCGTGCTCTGGGAGTTGAGGGGCGGGGACCTAGTGACCCGGAGGGGGTGTGGGGCGGAGGAGGGATGTGGGGTGGCCGGGGCCAGAGGGGCTGGGCCGCGTGCCCGGTTACCTGGCGAACAAAGTCGGCTCACTTTTGCATAAATAAATAAATAATCGCCTACCAACGCGTTTCCTCCGGGGCTCTGATTGAACCGGCCCCCTCTCCCCCTGGGGCTGGGGTGCTGAGTGACAGCTGTCAGCCCCCCGGGCCGGTAGCGGGAGGTGAATTGCTGAGTCCCTGTGCTCTGGCCGAGGGCACCTTCCCCTGATGGGTCCTGGTCCCCAGGCAGAGCCAGAGGGGCAGGGGGCTGGCTCTGAGTCTAGGAAATAACCTTGTTTCCTGTTCGACAGGAAAAGGGACAGCAACCCAGAGTTTGGGGGCTGGGGAGGAGGGCTGATGGGAGCTGGAGGGGTTCCCCAGCAGCCTGACCCCCCAGCCTCCTGCCAGGCGAAGGGGCCAGCTAGGGAGGAAGGATGTGGGCCTTGCTGGCCGGAGGCGGGAGCTGGGGCTGTCCCTGAGGCAGCAGCGGGCACGGAGAGGGGGGAGGGAGGGAGGGAGAGAGAGAAGCGGGGGCGGGAATTCTCTACCGCAGACCCTGGGGGCCAGGGCCAGATGTGGAGGGGTGGGGAGTCCCCCCTCCCTTCTGGCTTGGGGGCCCTGAGGCTGGGCGGGGAGGGCTGAGCCTGGTGCCCTCAGTTCTGCACCAGTGCCTGACTGGCAGGGCCAGCTGAATTTGGGCCCAGGCGTCACCCTGGGAGGCAGGGCTGGGCTGCACCAGCCTGGTCCCCGAACACAAGGAGGGACCCTTGGGGGGCCTGTGCCTGTCTGGCCGGGCAGGCGTTTCCCGCCGGACCAGTTGGTGTCAGGCGGGACTTGGCCCCGGCTCCCTGGGCAGAGCTCAGGGCGTGAGGACAAGCTCTGCCTCCTGGTCACGGTGGCCACGTTTTGTCCACTGCTGCCACTGTCGGCGCGGGGGCATGTGCCCGGCCTGGGCAGAGTCCTGCCGGGAGCATTTGGGGTGTTTCTATTGTTGGCTTGTCCCTGCCCCATGTGACCCCCTGTGTGTAGCTTTGTGAGCTGGGCTGTAAGGGAAAGATTGCCAGTCTGTCACCCGCCCCCCCAACCCCGCTTTGGTGGGGGGCTGGGTTGTGTTTGTGAGTTGTGGGGGGACCTGCCCCCAGGTGACATGTGCATGCGGCTTGCCATCTCCCTCCTTTGAGCAGATGTATATTTATTTTCATAGTAATGGAAAATCAAACCGGATAGTAAGTTGCATTCATTTTTTCTCTCTTGCTGTGTCAGTAGTTGGAATAACCCCCAGAGACGGGTGAACTCCTTGCCCCAGAGCTCCCACCCTTCAGAGTTGGCAAAGACCAGGGAGGGCATGAGCTTTGGGCGGCCAGTGAGCACCAGTCCAAACCAGTACTCTCTGGTCTCTCTCGGTCTGGCACTGGAGCAGGTGCCCAGGTGGGCGGGCATTGCCCCCTCCCCAGGCAAACCCCCACACCCTGGGGTGTGACCCGGCATCTCAGCCACCTCCGGCCGGCGCCTGCGCTGTGCCCAAGCCCTCGGGGAGAGGCTCCAGGTGGGCTCTGCCCCCCTGCCTGGGCTCCCCGGCCACGTGCTGATATTTATTTTCTGTAGTAAAATCCATTTTTAATGCCGTTACTTTTGAAATAATATAGAAAGAAACAAATGTGATGTGTTTAAGTTGCCCTCTGTGAGTTTTTAATGTGATCTATGGCTGAGGTAGTGATGGAAGGAACTGTTGGGCTTGGAGAAATTTGGTGTCATAAAGAGAAGGCGCTTGCTGTTTATTGTGGTCGCTGGGCTGGGGGTCTGGAATAGGGTCACGGGGGCAGGAGCCCAGCCCCCCCGCTTCCCCCCGATGCTGTGCATGGACAGCGTAGCTTCTTAGTTTTGGGTAGGAGGGTTCCGGGATTATTTTGCATTGCTCCACAGCTTTTCAGGGGCCTTCGGTGAGGGGGCTTGGGAGTTGGGGGCCTTTGTCCTCCCCCTTCCACCTGCTTAGATCTTGGCTGGGAGGCCCCGGAACCCCCTGCAGAATTAAGGGGAGGTGCACTGTGGGAGTTTGGGCTTGGATCCTACAGGAGATTAGGGATGGGATCTCCACCTGATGGTTGTGGCTGCACTAGAAGCTGGAGGGGAAAACTGTCCCTGGCAGACACCAGAGGACTGTTTTTTTTGGGGGGGCACTCTGGACTGGCAGAGCCCCAGGGGGACAGTGCTTGTCCTCAGATCCGCCTGGAACACTGACCAGAGCTTCTCCTTCCTCTTGACTCTGTTTGCCATTGGGCAGGGGTTACCTTCAGGCAAACCTGACCTCCCTCATTTCCTGTCCCCCCGCCCCCACCCCAGGCAAACCCCCACCCCCTGGGTGTCATTTGGGCGGGGTTTTTTTTTTTTTTTTTTTTGAAAACAACTCTGTGTCTCATGCCAGCCAGCCACCCAAGACCGAGGGGTACCGTGCCCTCCCACCAGATGCCCAGCACTCTGATCCGGTGGAGTAAGGTCAGGCAGGCTGGCTATTATGGGATGGAGCCTGGCTCTGCGCTGGGTCTCCTGAGTCTCTGGGGACAGCGCCTGAAAGGGGAAGCCAGGATGGGGTGCAGCTGGGGACTGCCAGAGAGAGCATGGGCAACATTGTTGCTAATGTCAGCAGACGGCCCCCCCAGGGAGAATGGGGGAGGCAGGCGGGGAGGAGAGAGACCCAGACAGCCGCTGGCCCTGTGGGGAGAGGGAGAGATGGTGACAGAAGCCAGCGGTGAGAGGGGGAGAGAGAAGAGCAGGCAGGGAGAGGAGCCAGGGCCGCAGCCCCAGGAGGTGGGGTCCAGGGGGTCGGGAAGGCCTGGGCATGAGCCACAGCCCAGAGTGAGCCGCGCGGAGGCCCTCTCCCCCAGACCAAGTGCTGGGCTTGCTTTTGGAGGAGAGACCGGCGCATGTCTCTGGGGAGAGGAGGGACAGGTGGGAGAGAGAAAGATTCCCACAGGAGGAGAGAGGATGGGGCGGCAGGGGGATTCCAGGGGTCACCCGGTTCCTGCTTCTGCCCAGGGCAGAGTCTTCCCGCTGCCTCCTCCAAACGGCTGGGGACAGCTGAGCTCCTCTTTGGACCTGAAGGTGGGGCCTCAGGCAAGTTCGGAGCCCCATGGGGTGTGGGTGCTCTGTGTCAGGAGGCACTGGGGCTGAAAAAGCGGGGCACCTTAGGGTCCCAGAGATGCCGGGGCGTCGTCCAGCTGTGACCCCTCCCTTGTTTGGCAGGAGGAAACCTTGTGTAGAGAGAGGAGCCGCTTGCCCAGGATCACAGACCTTGGCAGGGGCGGGCCTGGGACCCACGCTCTTCTCTTCGCGCTCCCCCTCTGAAGCTGGAGAATTGGAACAGCTGCAGGGGGCCTCCTGGGCTCAGAGGGGGCCAAGCCAGGGAGAGGAGCAGGCAGGCACCCTGTGGCCAGAGCCCCCCAGGGGAGGGGGAGGCGCTGCTGTGGAGAGCGAGGGAGGGAGGGGAGAGAGAGGAGGGGAAACAGTGAGTCAGGCTTCCAAGAGCTGAAGATGAGAGCGCCAGCCCTGGGAGGGAGAGGGCTGGGAGGGCTGCTCAGAGCGAGGCGAGGGAGGGGCCGGCCAGGGGCAAGGAGAGCTCCGGAGGGAGGGAGCCGGCCCGGCCCCGGCCCAGCGCAGGCCTGGCTGTGTGGAGGGTGCCGCCAGGGTGGACTGTGCCCATGGTGGGTCCGAAAGGAGCCAGGTCCTGCCTCTGCAGTGCCCCTCTCCCCTTGTGGTCCCACCCCAGGGTCTCGGGGTGACTGCGTGTCCTCCCATCCCTTCGTCAGTCTCCCTGTCCATTGTGGGACTTGGACCTTGAGCTGTTCTGGGGGAGGGAGCGGGGCCCAGCATCCTGGGCGGCTGAGGGGTGCTGGGGACACTGTGGGTGCTGCCACCGGGGCAGGGCAGGGTGCAGGGTCTGGAGTAGGCTCCCCCCTGGACCCTGTGAGCCGCTGGGCCAGGAAGTGGAGGTGGCTGGCCATGAGTGCGGGGTGCAGACTGCGTGTGAGTGTGTGTGTGTGTGTGTGTGTGTGTGTGTGAGAGAGAGAGAGAGAGAGAGAGAGAGAGAGAGAGAGAGAGTGTGTGTGTGTGTGTGTGAGAGAGAGAGAGAGAGAGAGAGAGTGTGTGTGTGTGTGAGAGAGAGAGAGAGAGAGTGTGTGTGTGTGTGAGGCGCTGACCTGGCGATGGAGATGGGCTACCTGGGGCCTCTCAGGTTGCCTGTGCCTGGACAGGGCCAGGGTTCCCCCATGTCCAGAGCCACCTTCCGCTGGAGGATGGGGGTGACACTCATGTGATCCCCCTGTATTCCCATGGATCAGAGGCTCTGGGGAAACGG